GTAAGAAATGTACAAGACTTAATGGACCGAAACATTTCTTACATAATTTATTACTTCTTTTTACATCTTTCCCCTTTTTTACCCTTTTTTGATCTTTTCTATCATCCATTTCTACATTTTTCGCCGAAATTTTCATTTATCCTTAAAAAAAGTGCAGTTATGAGCTGCAGCTGATCCAAATCTACTAATCTGTTAATTTCAAGGTCAAAAATTAACAGCTATCTTACCAGCCATTGCTGCTCTTCAGTGATCGTCGCATGTGAGCTTTGTTCTGGAGAATTTCTTGTTGGAATTGTAGGGCATGCGGGCAGGATTCTTGAAGCAGGAGCAGGACGAGGGGCGATTTCCTCAGCAATCGCAAGTATCGGCGTATCAGCAACATTGCTTGTCACAGGCATGGCTGGCTGAATTGGGGCTGGGATCTGTTCTTGTATAATAGCACCAGCAGCAGCAGGAACAACTGGCTGAGTTGTAGGGAAAACGCGATTCACTGAGATTCCTGGAAATCCTGAAAATGCCAGTGGCGCCAGAACATGTTCCTTTAACTTTTAAATTAAAATCACCGGTGACGCGCCCCAGGCAGGCCCGCACAGCCGTGTGTTTTTGCAGTATTTCGTGTTGTAGTAAGATCGCTTGGAATCACAGTAGCTAGAATTTGTGACATCCTGGTCCACGATGTTCAGGAAATTAATTGTGCAACATGATACTTTGACAGGAAACATTTCATTAAAATTTCGGCCCCCAGCTTTTTTGGCCCTCGAGTTGGTGATTTTCCCGCCAAAAAATTCCGCGGGTTCCTACGTGAGAACTACGCATACTTGGGGGGCTGAATATGAAATCTTCCAAGTTGTACGTGGACTGAGATTATCCTTTTAAAATTTCAGCCTCCTAGCTTTGCCGGTTCCAGATTTAGCGATTTTTCCGCTATAAAAATTTTATAGGGCCGCATGCACATATGAGAACTGAATTTGAAATCTTTAAGCTGTACATGGACTGGGAATATCCTTTTAAAATTTCAACCCTCTAGCTTTGCTGGTTCTAGAGTTAGCGATTTTCTCGCTAAAAAATTTCGCGGGTTCATGCATGAGAACCACGCATACTTGGGGGCTGAATATGAAATCTTCCAAGTTGTACGTGGGCTGGGAATAAGTTTTAAAAATTTCAGCCTCCTAGCTTTGCTTGTTCCAGAGTTAGCGATTTTCCCGCCAAAAAATTTTACGGGGCCGCACGCACACCTGAGAGCTGGATTTGAAATCTCTAAGTTGTACGTGGACTGGGAACATCCCCTCAAAATTACCAAAACGAATAAAAAGAACGGTAGGCGGAGTGGCTGTCCCCTTGCCGGGGATGGAGCCCCCCGATGATCAGTCGGTCAGTAGCGCCAGTTACTACTGTGCTACTTTTAACAGAAAAAAAAGTAATTGGCCGACGCACAGACTGCCCGTGCAAAAATGCATTTTTTGCATAGTTTCCCGCAGTTTCTGTCGCTACCGGCACCGATTTTTTCGGCAAATGCTTCTAGTTAAACAAATTAAGACTGGCCGCCAAGACTGTCAGGAAACACCCCCTTAAAAATTTCAGCTTTCTAGCTTTTATGGTTCGCCAATTAGCGGCTTACCCACAAAAAAATTTCAGGAGCTCGTACGTGGGTACCACGCGGGTAAGGCCGCCCACTTTGAGGAGGGAGGCCTGTACATGCATGTAGATTAAGTTCCCAAATTTTCAGCTTTGTAGTCTTTGTAGGTCTCGAGATGAAAAATCGGTACAGAGGCCCTGCGCACACCTCTCGTCAATATGCGTTTTCCGCATTGCATAACTGTAAAAAAAACGCATAATAACTCATTAAAAAGATTACCATGCGTATCAATATGCTGATTCGAAATTGGTCCAACACGTGCCACGTTTGCAGGTGGTGGTGCAGAAATTGGTGTACTTGTTGCTGATGAAGAAGTTGTGATTGTTGATGCACTGCATGTTCGCATGAACGGTGAATCTTGCGCAGCACAGCTGAACGGTGTTGCAATCATCGGTGTTACCTGGGCCACCGCCACTGCTGTCACTGGTGCATCATTCTCGTACTAAAATTGCAAAAGCCTCATGAAATGCTGAAAAACCGAACCCCCTCCGCCCTTCTCCCCCGTCCGTGTTTTGCAGCTACGCAATGCAGAAAACGCATATTGACGAGAGGTTGTCCGTGTGT